TAATTAAAAACAATGTGCTAGAAAATGTACAGGAAGTATTAACTGTCTTACTACATTAATAAGGTATATACAGACAGACATTAATAATGTAGATTAAGGAAAGATCACAATTTTCTCTATAAAATAGAGCGCGTTAGTAACTTATATGATTCGATACAGTTACTGATAACAGAACCAAAAAATAATTTGTTTTTACTGACAGTCTGTCCATTATATTCTGGTTGCATTGCCAAAAAAAAAAATCGCGTTCATAGTTTGGGGCAGTGGATAAATTATAATTCTGCTGATCAAATCGCACAATTCGATTAGTTTACCCAAAAAGTTGGTGGTAGATGCTACCTTTCTTCTGATATATTACTTCAAAATTAGGGACAGCTAACACAGATAGTCCTTGGCAAGAATATCTAAAATAAACGAACAATATTTTGAAGTTTGTTTGTTTTTGTTTTCAGGTCAGAGCTACATAATAGGCTCTTTACTCTGTGTCCACCGCGACAAATTGATCCCCACATTTTAGCATAACAAGCCATCAAGCTTAGTACCTAGCCAGGAAGGAGACACAATATATATATAGTTAAGTCAACTTCATTGGACTAAAGAAAAACAGCGAATAAATGTAAATGTACTGATCAGAAGAAAAGATGAGTCTAGCTAATGTTTTCTTTTTTCAACTGGAGCAAAATAAACAGTTTCCTTGAAATGACGAAAACAAAGCAGTATTTATTAAGTCGATATTGATACATTTCCTGTAAAAATATTCTTCCAGTTTTACGAAGAAAGATAACTCTTATTGCATGAATGTTCCACAACAATTCTTAATAAAATATTATTGAGATTAGTGTTTAGTTTATCTCACTTTCAACAAACCATTTTAACGTTCGCATTTAATTATTTCTTTAAACCTATCCTTATATTGTTTCTATCCCCATTTTTTAACTACAGATTGTAATTGCTCTTAAGCAAACCATATAGCATAGCAGAAATCACGTGAGAAATATATATATATATATATATTAAACATATTATATGTATACACAAGTAAGTATCATAGATATACTAATGTGTTATATAGATATTTAAAGTTACATTACAATTCATAGATTAAAAATAAGTTTAAAAAAAGTATTTCAAATTCGTGGCAGAAATTGATATAACGATAAATACAAAAGCTTAATTTAAATGAGTTAGCAGTATACAGTATAGGTAATTGAGATGATACGAGATATAATATAGTATTTAAAATAACCAGATTGAATTAAATCATTACATAGATATTTTCGTTGATAACAGTGTTTGGTGTTATAATCTCAACAATACTCCACGAGGACCAGACTGCTCGACTCATACCTCTCAAAAAAATTAAAATAGTATACAGCTGTCAGGTTATCAAATATTAGGTATAACCATTCATTACGTTTAATTAATGAAATAATAACATCTAAGTTCACTTATTACTTATCTCTCTCTCTCTCAATATATGATATTTTACGTGATTATTATCCAATGATAGGTAGGTCACAGAATGTTTGGGCTAAACATGATCTTCCATCCATTATTAATACTATAGATTGCGATTTTTTCTTTTGTTTATTGTATTTGATCTTTCTGTTTATATAATAACTAAAAAATTTTTTTTTTTTTACGTTTTCAATTTTGACTGATATGTTATATGTTTTTACTGCATAGCAAATTAGTTAATCTAGACAAATCATAAACGCCATGAAAAATTACTTTCTGCGTGTAACAGAAAATATTGTATTTTTGTTTCTGTGGTAATGTAGACGGTTTACTTACTTTATCGATCAGTTCCCGTATCATGCCATTCCATTCTCCGAGCTCACTTTTAGTTCCATGAGCTCCGTCGCGAACCAGGTGTATGTGGTATTTGAAGCCTAAGATCCTAGAAATCTCTCCTATTATATCTACACAATAGCCTTCAAACTGGTCATTTCCACTTAGCTGGTCGGCGGGCTCCTTTAACATCGTATAGGGTGGATTCTGGTGGATCATTCCGATTAACATTGTAAGAAGACTCATTTGCGAAAAGAAGAATCTTATAAGTATCTAGAAAAAAGCTCAAGGTTTTTGAATCGAATTATCTGATATCTATAAAAAAGCAAATTTGAAGTTATTCTTACGAACCTCTTAATAATAATATTAACTAATTATTTTTACTTATCTCACTTAATAATATTCACCACTAATTTGTTAGCGACTGTAAGATCCATCAGGTATGGGAAACATAACGATTTTATGGATATTTTGAAATAAACCTTTTTATTATGCGATATTAAAATTACAGAAAATCGCCTTAAATAACTCTTAAACCATTTTTTTCATTTTCTTTAATATCATCTGATATGTGTGTATATATTCTTTTCTTTCTTTCACGTGGCAGAGTAAAACTTACAATACGTGGCACAGTAAAACTTACAATACATGGCACAGTAAAACTTACAATAATTGTTACGATCTTCAACGTTCGGTTCTTCAACTGACGCATGACGTCATCTAAAACTGCTTCATATGGTGTTGTGAACTGAGCCCCGGCCTGCTGATTCCAGGTTCCGACCTAGTATAAAGAATACATTAATATTTTTTTAAAAAATAGAAATAGGGAAAACACACACATTCGAAACAACTTGAACTAGAATTAGTTGCTTGTATTTAAGTTTAAAGTTTTGTTTTACTCATTCATCTTGAAAAAGTTATATATATATATATATATATATATATATATTATAGTATTAACTTCCTGTTAGAGCAAGCTACATTAGCTCATTCTATAAACAAGAGAAGAGGTATATGTATATATATATATATATATATATATATATATATATACTAACTACACAGTAGAGTATATTATTACTTATAGT